GTCTCACTCGGTGCCTCTCTGTGCAGACGACTCATTTATATCTCTGGGCAGGCAGATGGAGCCACATTTTGTGGTGGGTAGTGGCTTCAGGGTCCTTAAATGCCCTTCCCATCTGCCTCGTTGGCTGAGGACAGAAGCTGGGATGGGGTCTCCCTTGTCCCCTGGCCCTCAGGTTGGGGCTGGGCAGGTGGGGCCCACAGCCTCCCCAGTGTCTGCAGCAGGGCTGGGACTTCTCTTCCCGTTGTCCTCAGGAAAGATCAGGCTCATGTCCTAACAAACGATCGGAAGATGTAGGATGTGGCCAAGACAGGTTTCTTTCGAAGTTCCTCCCGGGACCTCGCTGGCTGGGGTTGGCTGTTGACAGTTGGTGCCTATTATGCTGGGAGAATTCTCATTTGGCTGTGGTTTGTGTGCGCCTGTTTTTACGCCTTGTAATTAAAACATTTATTTGGCCTTCACAAGGAAAATCTAATTTCTGAGTCTAAGAACTGTGGATACTGGCACTCAGACTCCAGTCCATGGGGCAAACAGATCCGGAGCCTGTTGGATTATTCATAGCGTGGTGTTTGCAAATCAGGCTGTGGATCGCTGTAATCAGAGCTGATGTTTGCTAATTGACGGGTTGAGTTAGGATTGGGGGGGCGCCAGGTGTCGCTGAGCACTTGTGCGTGGCCACCGGGGGGCCTTCTGGGGCTGACTCAGCTCTGCCAGACGGGTATTGGCATCTCGTCAGTCACACGTCTGAGTGCCGACTGCATGCCACGTGCTGCCGTACAAGCATTCCCATATTTAATCTGCAGACGCCACCCCTGTACAGCTGGTTCTGTTCCTGTCCCCACTGTGCAGATGTGAAAACTGAGGCTCAAGAAGGTGATCTGCCCAAAGGCATTCAGCAAAGGGCAGAGCTGGAAATTGACTTGGGGAGCTTTCCAGATGATGCCTGCTCTGGATTGTGTTCTCAAAGATTGGGGACTCCCAGAGTCATGGTGTGGCTTGTGCCAGTAACACGTCTTCCTCTTTTCTGCTTTTCTCCAGACCATCATGGAGCAGTTCAATCCCAGCCTGCGGAACTTCATCGCCATGGGGAAGAACTACGAGAAGGCTCTGGCAGGTAGAGCTGGAACCCTGGCCCCACGGAATGGGAGTGTCGGGCGGGCTTGGCTCTGGGCACATTCCTGGCATGGCAGACAGACTTCAGCATCGCCCCCGGGCTGACTAGAAGCGGGAGGAGGTCTTTTCTTCCACAAATGAAACCTGACAGAGGCACTGAGTGAAGCTGTAGCTCACCTCAGTGGTCTGTGAGCTCTGAATCTGTCCCCACTGTCACAGCAAGGGCATATCCTTTGCTGTGTCCTGTAGCTGTGGTGACAAGCACAGCATTTAAAGACAGGAGTGGGGTGTGGATGTCTGTTCTTCAGAATCATCTGGAAACTATAGGATTGGGGCTTAAATGAAGCAATTGGTACCTGCAACTGGGTCTTTCCATCCTGGCGGGTGCCAACTGGCTCCTTGATGAGCTGCACTGTGGTGGGGATGCACTGTCCCTGGGCACTGACCCCTGTTCTCCTGCACCCCTGACCATGTCTGTCCAGGCAGGGTGTTGGGCTGTCTCTAACTGTGGCACCCTTATAAGCAAACCTCCCTCCCTGTGTCTCCACATGGGCACACAGCAAGCCGCTGGCCCCTGCTCCTCCACGTCGCATCGTTGAGTCTCCCGAAGGGTGGGGTTTGTCCAGTTTTGGGCGTCAGGCTTTGTTGGATGGGGTGTCAGGGGGCAAGCAGAGGGCCGGAGTCGGTCAGCGCATGGTGTTTTTCTACCACTTTCACCCCGTGGTCACTGGGAGCAAAGCCCCTGGATGGAGCACTGAGCAGGAGGGGCCTGTCAGCGCCTCCTCATCAGTTCTCCAGGTGGGGTTGTCCAGCCACAGTCATGCCTGCCATGTCCAGTGGGGGACAGAGGTTCTTCCTGCCACCAAAAGGGCCTCCATTGTGCAGTCCTGCCAGGCAGCCTCCTATGCCCTGGTCCTTCCCTCTGAGGGCCACTGTGGGCTGGGCTGACCCTTTGGAAGGGGAGTGGCACCATCTCCTGCCAAGACTGTGGAGGTCACAGGGACCTTGGAGGAGTGCAGGAGGATGGCCTGGGGGAGTCGGCAGCCCTGAACAGCAGCCCTGTAGGGTGGTCTCCACATTTGTGTGGATGTGAAGGGGCCGGGGCTCCCCATGCTGCCTGCTGCTTGCAGCGTGCACAGAGGTGGTTCTGCAGTCAGCACCCTGCAGTGCAGTTTTGCTCCACCCTGCCCTGCAGTCCTGAGCTCAGTGACACAGCCACAGGGGGCCCAGAGCACAGAAAGGCACACCTGCTGTTTGGATACCAACTCTGTCCCATCAAAATTGTCTTAAGGGCTATTTTTCATCAAGTGGAGAACCTGCCTGTAGGGTCTTAATGACAACCCAGGTCCTCCGGCTCCTGGCCAGGAGGAGCCTCTCAGGCCTGGCTGTGGAAGTGGGCAGTATCCATGTGGCCTCCTGGAGGAAGGAGGATGGACTTGGCCTCTTGTCTGAGGTGTCGATTGCTGGGAAGAGGCTTCTGCATGAAAGCAGGAAGGCTGAGGTGGGCCTCCAGGGCAACCTGGGTGTTCCTGCTGTCTCCAGGTACAGCACGTGATCAGATCCTCCAGGCAGAACTAATTCCCAGACCCTTGGAATGCAAGAATCGACTTGGGTGGGGGGGCGCACTCTGGGAGACTGGGAGTTGGTCTGGCTTATTTCAGACCAGTGGTGGCTTCCTTTTTTCAAAACCATTGGTCTCTAGGTCTCTTGGGGACCTAAGCTTTGGAGGATTCTTTCTTACCCCTTGTGTGGCTTTCTCCGAGAGGATGGAATTTCATCCCCAATTGTCCTGCATTCAGGGGAGTGATCTGGACGCCCTCTTAGTGGGTCATGGTGGAGGTGGGTCGTGGTGGAGGCCAATCCTAGGAAGGTCGTGGTCCCTTCCTCTTTGATCTGTGCCCTGTGGCTCTTTGATGCCAAGTCCCGGGTTTCCTTTCAGGCCTTCCCGCCTCCCACTCGGGTTCCTCATGGGTTCGTCATGTGGTAGTCGGGGCTGCGTGTGGTGAATGGGGAGGTGGCTTCCTCTTCCCGTTTCCCTGGATTGTCTCCAGACGGAGCTCAGCCATCCAGGCCACCACCACCACCTCAGCTGTGTCCAGCCTCCCGTGCCAAACTTCTGCTGTTTTGCTTTTCCTTCGTTCAGCTTTCTTAAGCCCACCCCTCTCAGGCAGCAGAAGCACCTCAGTCACCTGCAGACGTGCTCTTGTGCCTGAGGACAAATTGTGTGCGTTTCAACTGAAAACCATATAAATAAAACTTGATAAAGCCCCCAGTAATAAGCCCCTTACTGGGCTCTGTAGAACACGGGTTAGAAACTGTAATTGTGCTGCTGCTGGCTGCTCCCCAAGGTTCTGCTCTCTAGGCGTGGACTCCTCGTCCCTCCTGAAGGTCGGGGCGGGTGGGGCTCCTTCTAGGTGCGAGAGGAGGAGCCCAGGCTGTGGCTATCATGATTGTGGCCTGGGGCGGTGGGAATTCAGTGGGCCTGAGCTTTCCACCGCTTCTGATTAGATCAGAATTTTCCGGGGAGTGGCAGGTCGCCCTGATAGCGGTAACACTGTGATGCCATGATCCTGCTTGGAATAGGGATGACCCACTCCCAGTTACAAGTCTCTGTTCTGAGACCCGGAAACTTGGGGATCTTCGAGCGGGTGGCTGCCTGCCTTGCGGTGCACGCCAGGCGGTGGCTCCTCTCCTCCCAGCAGCACGTGGCCAGCAGCCTGCTGTGCGGTTCCTTTCCAACGGCTCTGCACCCCAACCCTGTGCTGTTGGCCCTCCCGATGGGAAAGGAATAAGAACGTCAACAAAAAATAGGGTTACGTCCAATGCGGAAGTCAAGCCGGAGTGTTCTTTGCGCTTGTCTAGGCACCGAGCAGGGACTGGGGTGTGCTCCTGTAGCGGAGGGAGAGGTTGCCCCAGCACCCACAGTTTGCCTGGGTCTAGGACCCACGTTGACACAGGACAGGTGAGCAAGAGGAGGCACATGTGTTACTGGTTTTACATGTGCGTGGAGCTTCCCAAGGGCGAAGTCTGGAGATGTGGCCGGGGATGCTTCTGTAGTTTTTGAGCAGATGATCAGTGTGTGAAGAAAGGACAGGACCAAGCGGCTGTGGCCATGGCGACTGGCTCAGGCGTCCCTAGGAGGCACGTGGGGGGAGGCTAGTGGAAGATCAGGGCTGCTTCAGGAGGTTTGTTTACATCCAGGCGCATCGCAGGCCCCAGGCTCTGGTGATAAGGGCTACTTTCTCAGCCTGGTACAGGGAGGGTCAGGCCAGCGAGCCCTTTCTGAAACCACACTGTCTCCAGTGTTTTCAGATCTCAGTGATCAACGTGCCAATCTGCGTATGTGGGGACAACATGTCCGCCACTCCTGCGCTGTGATCACAGCAGTCTTGCTGCGGGTCTTGTCCTGTCTGTGTGAAGGAACTGACAGCTCCCTCTCTTCTCTCCCAGGTGTGACCTACGCTGCCAAAGGCTACTTCGATGCCCTGGTGAAGATGGGGGAGCTGGCCAGCGAGAGCCAGGGCTCCAAAGAACTTGGTAAGACCCTGAAGACCCCAAC